ACCAAAGCAGCTGCTGTGGCATCACCTACCGCTTATCTTTCCCCTGTGTCTGGTGCTCCTCCTGTTCATATGACCCTCAACCAGAGATACAATTGGGATCCATTGTATGGATCCTGTGCTTTGTCATGGTTTCTTATATCAGGTTGATATACACTTTGAAATGAACTCACAGTCTGATCCTACTGACAGATTCAAGATTAATTTCCTAAATAACCACCTCACTGATAGAGCTTTAGCCAATCCTCTTTGGTAATCTAACACCATTCTCACCCTGACATCCAGATGTGGTCGCCCCAGAAGTGCCCAGCAGGGGATTTAAACCTGGGTACTTTGCAGTCCTAGGCCTGCTTTACTACCAGTAAGCCACAGCAGCTCCTATTCCTCTGAGTATTTCTAGCTCTTGATCGATTGTTCTTGATCCAGTGTTCTCCAGACAGCTCCTGACCTTGGCTTATCTTCAATTATCCTGACCTCTGGAATCCTCTGACCTAGGCTTGCCCTCGTTTATCCTGACCTCTGGCATCCTGTGACTTTGGCTTCTCTTCGACGATCCAACTGCTTGTGTCCTTACCTGTACTGTGACTTGGAGCTATATCATGCACAGCCCCCATGCACAGATTCACAGTCCAGGTGGCTTCTTATCTGGTCACTTTGGTCTGTGTTTGTTTGCAAGAGTGAGCGTATATATCTCAGCATACCGGACTCCACATCAGGTAAGATTCCAGACACACCTCCATGGTTTATGATTACAGATAATTTCTTACTGCAGAAGAACTTTGATATGCCAGGTCATGTTAGATCTGCAGGCAAAGTTTTGATGAAAATAAAGCAGGGACCACATACAGTGTCTGATTACGCTATCAAGTTAAAAAAATTAACTTCAAACTTTGTGTGGAACAACCATTCTCTGGTGACTTCTATCCAGGAATGTTTATCTCACATTATATGAGATGAAAATACACCCTATTCTCTGTTCATTTAAAATCAATTCAAATTGAGTGAATTCAATATGGCACTATTCCAATGTATCAAATCGGTATATAGAAATATGTGAGATAAACTTTTGTATACACATTTTTGATACATTGTAAAACTGTTACATTTATGTCACGTATTTCTATATACCGATTTGATACATTGGAATATTGCCATATTGAAGTCACTCAATTTGAATTGATTTTAAACGAACAGAGAATAGGGTATATTTTTATTTTATTTTTGCAGTGTCTGTAACAGGTTAATAGGTTATCTATTTTTTTACCCCTTTTATTCTCAGTTTTAACGTACTTTATCTCACGATAGACGCTCCACTTGACATATTGCTTATTATATGAGATGAGATTGAATCTAAAAACATACCTACAGATCTGAATGATCTCATTAATTTTTGTATACACAATATACAATCGCTTAAGGGAAAGATGCACACAAATAGAGAGAGGTATATCTCTACATGTCCCAACTTGTCCTTTCTACTGAATGTCCTGCCCAGCCTCCTCCTGATCTCATGTAGCTTGGTGTGACTAAAATAACTGAGGCTGAGAAGTCTTATAGGAAGTTAGACTTGTGTCAGTTTTGTCACCAGAAAATAAGTCATAGAAAGGAATACCCTAGCCATCCCAAAAAAACTCACACACCTAATGTAAAACAAGAAACCGGCATTTGGTGTAATGACATTGTCCCCTATTTCCTTGTCAGCTAGACTCATAATATCTGTCACCTTACATGTTAATAATAGTACTATTCCAGCTAATTCCTTGATTAATTCTATGCAGCAGAACACTTCATCGATGCTACCTTTAATAGTTCTTCTGCTTTACCCTTTATCCAAAAGGCAACACCCTTGGCTTTTGAGGCCATAGATGGTAGATCATTGTTCAAACCATATAACCCTTTAGACTAAAGATATGCTCTTGACTGTTGGGCTCAGCACAGGGAAAATGTTTTCATATTATTTCTTCTCCTTTATGTCCCATTGTTCTGGGTTTTCTTAGGTTGGTTAAACACAACTCTGTCATAGATTAGGTTACAGGAAAGATGTTGCCTGTGGAAAGAACTTTCACAAATACTGCCTAATACTTCTATGCCCTTTGTTTGCTATAATTGTCTTTACAGCCACTCCTTTATCCAAATCTGTTCCTCTGCAGTATCTTGACTTATGAGAAGTGTTTGAAAAGAAGGAGGTTGATAAGCTACCCCCACATTGCCCTTATGATTGTGTGATAGACTTTATTCCTGGCACTGTGCCACTTAATTGTATAGTCTATCCACTCTCCGAAAGAGAAAACATGATATTGGAAGAGTATATAAAAGAATTATTAGCCAAGGGTTTTGTTAGAAGATACTCATCTCCAGCCAGAGCAGGATTAATTTGTTTGTGTCACCTAAGGCTGTATGTATTGACTATAGAGGTTTAAATCATATTACAGCTCATAACACTTACCCTATCCCATTGATTACAGAATTATTTGTTAAGGGATCCAAATACTTTACCAAACTTGATCTTCATGGGACTTATAACCTGCTGAGAGCAAGATGAATGGAAGACTGCCTTTAATACCTGCAGTGGCTATTATGAATATTTAATTATGCTTTTTGCTCTTTGCAAAGTCACGGCAGTCTTTACCGTCTCCAGAATTTCATCAATTATGTTTTATGTGATTTACTACCAATATGTGCTGTAATCTACCTTGATTACATATTGGTCCATTTACCTGACCTCCACACCACCAACATGGCAGGAAGGTACTAACTGGGCCACTTAGAAATGGCCATTTGTTTGCAAATTAGAGAAATGTCTCTTTGATCAAGCATCAGTTAAATTTCTAAGTTGTGTGATTTCTGTATCAGGGATTAGCATGGATCCTTCTAAACTGAATGCTATTCGCTCATGACTTCTTACACAGGGCTTGAAAGCCACCCAGACAGAAATAATTTTCAATTGGGATACATGTGATAATCAAACCATCTAGATTAAAGGAAGAAGATAACCTCTTCCTACAGCTGCCTGAGAATACAGTGTCCATGCTGTTATTGTTGCATTTCGCACAGCCAGTGCATGTCAATTAAATGCTAGCATTTTCATTCAATTCTTGTTGCTTGAGTAAGACTTCATCATTGTGCCACAAAACCCAAGAAAAGGCAACATATGGTGAAAGGGTCATACAATCCAAACATGATGGTATGAATCACATTTTATCATGCAGAGCATATCCAGGATCACTTCTAAAATATGCAGACCATCTGCATGGAAAAGAATGCCATTTAAATAAAATGTAATAAAATACAAGTATAGTTACAAAGTAATCTAGTGTGAAAAAAGTTTCAAGTCTATCATGTTCAACCTTTAAATACAACTTTTTATGTTCTTGATTTAAAATAAGGAGAAAAAAACAGAATGTGTAGCAACCACCAATTTTGCCGCAAAAAGAGAAAAATCCTTCTTTTGACTCCATAACGGCAATCAGATTTCTCTTTGGCTAAACAACCTACTCAGATACATATTAATTATATCCTCGAATTCTCTACTTTCGAACCAAACAAATTCAAGCCGTTTATGAAAAAAATCTACAGATTCTGATAAGGTGAGCTCTTTGGGCAGCTTTGTCGTTTCTAATGTAAAGAATAATTTTCTCTAATCCTGAAATCACATTTCTTTCACTGTCAATGGGTGACCTCTTGTATGCCGTATATTCCTAGTAATAAACAGGCTACCAGATAGCAGATTGCTCTGCTGACCAAGTGGTAAGTATAACCCACATATGTGTGATAGTGGCATCCTCACCTGTATATCTATATATCTTTATATTTATACACCTTTGTATCTACCAGGTAGCAGATTGGGCTGACCCTGGGTATATTTGCATAGTGCTATAATGCAAATGCAGTGTTGTAGCATTTCTTCATTAAGTGTTCTTGCATAGCAAGACCACTTAATGTTATCTCACATATATATTATTAAGTGTTCTTGCATAGCAAGACCAGTTAATGTTATCTCACATATATATTATTATTAAGTGTTCTTTCATAGCAAGACCACTTAATGTTATCTCACATATATATTATTAAGTGTTCTTGCATAGCAAGACCACTTAATGTTATCTCACATATATATTATTATTATTATTATTATTATTATTAAGTGTTCTTGCAAGAACACTTATTGTTATCTCACATATATATTATTATTCTTATTAAGTGTTCTTGCATAGCAAGACCACTTAATGTTATCTCACATATATATTATTATTATTATTATTATTATTATAGCAAAATTTGCCACCCTAACTCCTCCCACAGTTTTTACACTACATAGACCAAAATTTGCTATAATGCAAATGCAGTGTTGTAGCATTTCTTCATTAAGTGTTCTTGCATAGCAAGACCACTTAATGTTATCTCACATATATATTATTAAGTGTTCTTGCATAGCAAGACCAGTTAATGTTATCTCACATATATATTATTATTAAGTGTTCTTTCATAGCAAGACCACTTAATGTTATCTCACATATATATTATTAAGTGTTCTTGCATAGCAAGACCACTTAATGTTATCTCACATATATATTATTATTATTATTAAGTGTTCTTGCAAGAACACTTATTGTT